CTCTGCCTGTTCCCCCGGCCCAGCTGCTGTACCAGTAAGTTCTCTCTCAGATCCTGCAGCCCTTTCTCCCCCTTGAGGGCAGCGGGTGGTATTAAAGAGGACACGGTACGCATGGGCAAGTCCCCAACACATTGCAGAGAGTTGTGTCACGTGGGTTTTAGCAGCTTGGTAACACACTCTTTCTAAGAACTCCATCAGTTTATCAGGGCTCTGCATTTGTTTGAGAGTGAAGTTCCAAAGCATTGGAGGTGACCACTGACCCAGGCCTTTGCCCATCTTTTCCCACACCCCTTGCCACTCACCATTATCTGACCTCGGGGCAGGTTTCCGGGCACTGCTATTGTTAGAGAAGTGCCGCATGGCCCAAAACAAGATCTGGCAGACACCCAGAAAGCACTGTGCCACAAACACACTGGCCTGAAAGCTCCAAGGATAATTGAAACTCCTGAAAACCGAGAGGATCTCTTCCCCTGGCTCACCCATAGAGGGGGTGAGACCCCTAACAACAGCCCAGGCAGCAAAAAGGTACCGGCCCACCCCCCCACACAGCAATACAAACACATTATAAGCAGTCAGTAACCAATATAGCAAAAAGAGACCCTTTGCACATTTTCCACCCACAACAAACATCAGCACTGGGATCATACACTGGATATAAGGATTAATCCAGCCCCACCACTCAAGCAAGTGGGCCAGCATTGCAAACATTTTCTTATCAAACAGTACAAATACAAACAGAAAAAAAAATGCACCCAACAGATTGCTCCAACACACTCTGGTCAGGGTCTGTCCCTTTTTGATTCTTATTTCAATCCAATTCGTGCCCCACATTGGGTGCCAAGAAGGCTGTGGTGGTTTAGGCCCAGCCAGGACCAGAGACCACGTTGCCTTTGTCTCTCCTCCACCCTCAGACCGAGTAGGACACAAACCCCAGGGTTGAAATAAGGAAAGATTTAATACAACAGTGTAATAAATAACAATCTGAACAACAACAATAGCAATAATAACAACAATAAACAGTAATGACAGTAAACAAGACAATAGATACACAGAGAAATACCAGAGTGAACACAGTCAGCCCACCGCACGTGCTTTCCTTGACAAAAGCCGAAAGGAAACTCTTTCCACCCTTCAGTGCCGGACCTGACATCAGCATGGTATTGAATAACCCGGCTGGAGATCCCTTCCCCCTGCTTGGGAAACTTAACCCTATCCTAACTGAACTAGGACATCTCTGAACCTGCAGGTTTTGGAATGAGAGAACGGGCCAAGTTCATCACCCGCCTAACTGTGGCAGAGTAGTGTGTGTAGCAGTTTTTTTCAGTGTCCTCTTTCAACAAGAGTTACATGCTGCAAAGGGGTAAATCTGGAACTGATTCAATGGACATAACTTGCTACAATTCCCTCTCTAATGGTAGCTAGAAAACAGCCTCTTTTTCTTTCTACAGCTCTCGACTTACAGTTAAGAACTGACTTCTTACCTCAGTTTTGTTTGCGTTTGGGTCATCTCTATACCTTGTTGATATACCATCATTCCTACCTACTTTATTATTTCTCTAAAAGGCAGTGGAGCAAGGGAAGGGAAACTGCCTCTAGTCAAAGAGCATATTTATAGCTATTCTTCCTTAAATGGCTTACTGGTTATATAAACTAGTATATGGGGATAATAAAGTTTTGGAGGACTGAATCCTACCTATTTATTGTAATCAATTTTGATGCCTGTCAGTTTTATAGGAGCTGGTAGAGGTACAATGACATTTAGAGCAATCAGGATGTTGGAGCATCCTGGTCATCTTGCTGGTCATCTTGCTCTCCTCAGCAGGCTTCTTCGATCACTACATCAAAGCCTGGTCTTGATCTGCTTCACGGAATAATTTTGTTGCTGATCTATGTCAGATTTTTCTGACATCTTGAAACATGCCATTAAAGTTCTGTAAGGATAAAAGTCAGATGCATTTTTAAAAACCCAAACAAACATGATTCAACAAGACATTCTTTTCAGCCCACTAGAAACTGCTGCTGGCAATAACCCCAAACTGGAAACGTATGTGCTGTTGACATGATGTAATTAGCAGGACATTTCCATATAACTGGTGTTCTTAATGATTTTTTGCTGTTTTCTTTTTTTATTTTCCAATTTCCAAGAGTAACTAGAAGAGTAATCTTAAAAGTAATGATGAAACATCTCTTCTTTATTACATTCCCAGCCTGCAAGATGTCAAGGACACACAAAAAAATTAATAAATATTTCTAGGAGGCCATGTATCTGAACCTCTGCAGTATTTTTGCAGAAACCTTTCTATAACAGGTTCTTTCAGTTTATCTCTGAATATATGTGTGTGTGTGTATTTTTACATCCAGCGTTGGAATTACTTCTGTAGAAAAAATAGTGTTCTGGGAGCTGGGTCTGTGACAATTTTAAACAAACTGAGGCAACAACTAATAGTAAAATAATATGTGCTTGGAACATTACTAAGCCCTCTCACTGACCCTGTAGTAAGTACTGTGTGATTTTTCCTTACTGTCTGATGAGTTTATCTATTCTGATTATATGAGAAATGACTCAACCATTTAAAAGTGATTGAAAGTATTGTTCTGAGTTTGGCAGTACGAATGCTGATGGAACCAATTCTCTGACCCAATGTTAAAAAAAAAAAAGATTACATTTTTGAATTTGTTTGACCTAATTTTATTATAACATTTTTCTAGGATTTCTTATGCAATGAAATAATAACTGTTGCAAATTAAGATAATTTATTCATTGGAAGGAGGTAGCACCCACTGGAAGTCTGAAGACGAAGAAAAGCAAACATTTTTATGAGGAAATAGGTGGAAAAAAAGGCCACCTCTAACTGAAACAACTAAATACTCAGATGCTGGATACTTTGTTAATAAGACATTATATTGGGGTTTTGAATTTATAGAAAATCTGTTGTCTAATTCTTAAAATTTATCATAAAACGGATTTTTTAAAATTTCATGTTAAAACACCAGAGTAAGTTATAAGTTTCTTTGTTTTCATTATTACTTTTTGGTATTATATGGAAGATTTTTTTTTTTAAAGTATGTCTGAAATTCAAGTGGAGACAGAAATTTAAATATCAGGAAATTCAAACTTCACTGAAGTGATCTTTTCCTCCTTCACCATTTTTAAGCTTTCAAGGAGATGGTAATGTGTTTTCAAAACGAAATATTTCAGCCAGAAAGCTATAATCTCATTCTTTTCCTTTGTTTTGTCTCTTCCCTTTTTACCTGCTCTTAATAATGTTTTGAGATTTAAATAACTCTTTACAGCAGCACTGACTCATATATTATTTTTTTTTTTCCCTAATGATAAGAAAAGAATTAGCAAAAACTCTGTGCTGCTTTGGAAAAATATTTAATTAAATTTTGTTTTACTGCTAATTGTACCTAATTGTACCAAAAATCAAAAGTTTATTTTTAAATGATCAGTTCTGTGTAATTACTCTCATTTGAGGCAAAGAAATCTAAATCAATTCATCTGCATTTGGGTTTCACAGTCATGTAGGTCTTCGCATAGTGCTAAGAGTAGTTAGTACACACCGTGGTAAAGTCCCTAGGTACGAGGGAAAACTACCTGTCCTTCCAAAGAAGTTTTTCTTTGCTCAAAAATCTATTTGTGTGGTTTTCAGCTGGTGGCCTTTTGATGGTTCAGATAATCAAACAACAGTACTGAACCTTTTGCACATACACTTAAAAACAGCCTTCAGCGTCGCCTTTTTTTTTTTTTTTTTTTTTTTTTTTTTTT